ACTCGCGACAAGAAGAGAGAAAAGAGTGAGCAAAAACAAAGAAACTTTATTATCGAAGGCCTGCTGCTGCGAGACTAGGGGACGTATATTAGGAAAAAAAAGAGGGGGCCGGGTACAAGAGCATCGTCTCATCGTTCACATCGTTGTTCGTCTCATACGGGGACATTTTGCCCGAGCGGAAAGAGGGGGTCTCTCTGAGGGCTTTCAGCTTCCGAAGAAGGGGTGGGGGCCGGACCAGACCGGGCCATTTTAGTCCTTACAAATTTCTCTTCGTTCATCAGCCTCCTCATCATCAACTTCCTTCCTTGAATTTCTCTTAATAGTTCTCCTATTGACGATCGTCTTAAACGTCTAAAAATAAAGTTGGATTAACCTCTGACTAATACTTCTACTACTACTACTACTACTAATACACATTATCATTTGCACAATTTTGAGAATTTTCAATTGTCAAGGACGTTCCTCCTACTTTTGATGCAGATTACTCTAGTAGAGGGTTGGAGGGACCTCTTATCCTCTTAAGAACCCCATCCTCCCCAACCTCCCGAACCCGGAACCTCCAATCCAATCCAGATCATGGGTTCAGCCACCAGGCCGCTGAAAACGAACCTCCTCTATCCATTGTGGCGAAAAGAATTAGCGGTGGTGCGTCTAGCGCATTTTCAGAAGGGGTTCCAGAGCAGCGGTCGGCCCCCGGGCTCTCTCCGCGCGAAAGAAGAGGGGAAACGCATCGTCAGAGGCGTACACAGCCGGGCAACGACTACCGAACGACGTACTAACGAAAGAAAATCGATATGCATGATTCACGCACGCGAGAGAGGACGCCTCGAAGGGGGCCGGGGGACAGGGGTACGCAGGGGTGGGTATACACACGGTGAAAGGCTGTAGGAGAGGCAACGGAGGGGAAGGGAGAACGGAGAGCCACTCTTCTCCCTTCGTGCTCCCTTTTGCCGCGAACCAAGGGGACGGAGAGAGCTGTATCAGGCTGTATGTGCGATCAACACACGTAATTCTATACAAGCACACGAGGAGGGGTATTCTTACAATGCTACCCCCTCGGTCACTCGATCAGTCGTGTCCAGAGTCCCATGCTCGTTGTGAACCTTCGTGGCTCTCCTCGTCGACGTTCTCGCGTGTCTTCCTCGTTTCCCATGTTTATTTCCATTTGTCAATTTTACGCCCGTTGCTTCTCCTTTCGATCATTTCCAGGATCTATAGCAGTTCCACACGTCACGGGGGTTTTAGTGATGGTTTTCGTCGAATGCATCGGCGTCGACACGTACAAGCTACATCCAGTGCGCGATCGCCGGTGATCCCGCGTTCGTCATTCGATTTTGAGGACTGATATCAATATTCGGAGGACTGTATATACCTCCTCAGTGCATGTGCTGGTGTTTACAGTGGTGACTGGCTATGATAGAGGACCGATGAGTTGTCTTCCACTTCTCTTCTACGGCGTCTGAGAGTAAGAGCATCCTGTAGGATATGATCAGCTTTAATGACAGGTAAAAGAATTTCAGAGTTGTTAAAATTTGTGCATTGTTATATGATCTGTGCTATGGAGATTTTCTGACCGTATCATTGATCCGTTTGGTCAATGATAATGAAAAAGTGACTTTTTGGCAATTCCTTTGTATTTCTTTTCGTGAAAACTTCTTACCTTTTTTTCATGTAAACAAAATTTCCAAATTATAGAACCGTTTAAAAATGAAGTTGTGTGTAGGTAGAATTGCAATTACATACTTCTTCCAAATGAATCTCTCTTTCTTTCATTCAACTTTAATTTATGTTACGAAAAGTGTTTAATTCTTTTTACGTCAAGTACTCTGTCACATATTTCTATAGGAGGGCATACTATAATCTGAGCATGCAACTGTACCGTTTTTTCGCGTTGAGGGTGGCTCGGGGATTTCGATGCGAGGCTAGCAACGTGAGGCATCGAGACGCATCTAAAATTCTATTATCGTCACGTTCCTGTAAAACCGTTGATCGTCAACTCTATCCTATTAATTCCAATTATTTATCGATTAATTATTTTTAACCCTACCTGTTGCTATATCCATAGGAATCCTTCCATTCTTACTTTAAAAAAAAGTGGTCCTTTTCAGTCAAAGCTACCAAATACCAAATACCTTCCTTTCTTTAGTACACAAAACGGTTTTCGCAACTGCAGCTTAAAATATTAGTTTAGAGAAAGCACGAAACTTCCAAGATTTTGTCCATAAATTTCTTAAAAGTTGGATTCATACAGAAACAGATAGCTCCGATGGACCAGACAATTTGGGCATCTTGATCGTTTGGTTAATTCCAAAAAATCGGGCCGATCGTTCTGGAAACTGCGCGCATCCGCCTCACGGTGTCGATTTTTCTCGCTTAATTCACGCCACCGATACCAGGTCGACGTGTAACGCAAGAGAATAAAACGAGAAAACGATGCCAGGCTGCGGTCAGTTGGGTCTGGTTCCGAAACAAGATACGCCTGGGACTTAAAATAAACAAACAGTAATATGCCACGAACCGAATAGAAAAGCTAGTCGATCTACTATCGATCTCTAAAAGAGCAAATGAAATTGTACGACGTGCCCACTTGTCGCGAAGGAAGTTAGATTACGGCTATATTATGTTAATAATTCTGAAGGATAGTGATTAGAAGACGGAATGGTATGAAAGAAATTTTTGGAACGCAATTCGATCGAGGGTGAGATAGGAACTTGGATCGATATCTCGGTTGGAACGCGATGGTAGAGCCACTATTTACGGGGGAGACCATCTGTATGGGGTGGATGTTGGTCCACCGTCAAAGAATCCTCCTCGTGAACCCGATTCGCTCTTCTTTTCTAAAACAGAACGTATTCTTTGGATTTTTATAGTCATAAACTTTTCAAAACATGATCAATCTTTTAACGAAAATATATTCTCTTCTAATATCTAATATTATATATCGAGAATCCACGTAAAATCGATCGTTTTCATAAAATAAAGCCTAATTTCACGAAAATGGTGAAATAGACGCAACAAACATTCTAGAATGTGTCCAATTCGATACTAATCTAGCGACCTCCCCTTCTGAATGATGTACGAGAGAAATTATAGCATCTAGCAAGGGTAGAATCACTAAGTCAGCGCTAGGGGATGCATTTGTGTCCAATGGGAGGGTAGAAGTTCGTAGACAGTCGTAGAAACACCTGCGTGCACGGGGAAATAGCTTCGTCGAGCATCTGCTCGCGGTCTATTGGCCTATTTCCAGCTGCGTATCACCCCTAGAGGCTGACTAATTCGAAATTGTCGAAAACCATGTTCCCTAATGTCGTTGAGTAACCATCTTGTCCTGGAAAATTCTTGGGAATCATCAAAAACCGCCCTCAACATCTGTCGTGTTATGAACCAATAGTAAAAACATATAATTACCTTTATAAAACCTAGTACGTTGTATTATAGCGTTTAAAACTCATAAATTCTTCAATTGTCCATTCATTGAACTTCTTTTAACATTTTGAATATATCGAGAAGAACTTGCCCGATCAGAATTCCTAAGTGAAGAGATGAAGAAACTGTCTGGAGCCCGGAACATGCGACTTTCGCGACTAAGGCGTATCAGTATCGTTTAAAGGGACTGCAAACATGATACGCAGCCGGATTAACTTACTCTATATGTCCAAAGAGAAACGCAGACCACTGGTTTATCCTAGTTCTTCGCAGAGCGAAGGTCGTCGTACTTCGGGGAGCGCTCATGGCGGCGTTACTTTGAAAAAACGCTGGAAAACCAGATCGAGTTTCTGCAATTCCGTGTCACAAACATTATATGTTGTTAGTAGAACGATTAAAAAGCGTAATTTCTTTGGGAAAGCCCTCACTCTCCTTCCGAGTTATTCCGAGGATATGAGATTAGGAAGATATCTTTCTTCTCATTGATGCATCATAAAGTGAAAAAATTCCCACTTAGGTTTGAAAGAATCTTCAGTATGCTCCCATTTCTTCATGGTGGCACACTAATTCCAATTTTGACATACTAATCTTCGATGGAATATATATGCTAAATCGAAGAACATCTCGGTACCGAAGATTTAGTTGAATGGACGTTATAATTCAGCGTAGTCGGTCGAAGAGAGTCATCTTCTTGGACGACAGGCAGTAAGGAGCTCGCTGACAGGAAGAGAGACGCGAGTACAGGCTGGAAACGGAGAAACAGGGACGGCAAGGCGTGCATAGGTGGTCGCAATTTGCACCTAGAAGCACAGAGAGCACCGATATCTAGTATCCCGTCGTATTATTACGCTCAAGGGCGTTCGTAAGGGGGAACCGAGGTCCAGGGATGGTCGGCCGGCTAGGTGTAGGCTTACTTTGGACTCTGGTGTGGGATTACCGTACTTATATTCAAGTCTAATATTAAGTTACCATTTTGCTTTACGGCAAGTGAACAGGCTGCCTGCATATAGGAAGCCATCCGAGCGCTCTTGGGACAGTCTGGGTTAGGTCTGGGCCCACCTACGACACGTAAAGCGTCGCTTCTTCCCGGCCCATCATCCTTCGTGGTTTCGTTCCGAAAAAAGTGTCACCAAACTTCGACTTCCATCATTTTTTCTGCTTTCAACTAGGAAACTGCTTCTCTCAAAGGGCAGGAATTTTTACTGAAGACAAAAGAGCAGAAGCTGAAAGAAATACGTTGTGAAGTGGAATTGTGGATCGATGGTATTTAATGATTTGGATAAAAGTGATTTTTACTTGGTTAAATTATTGTATGCATGGAGGCTGGATGGCTGGAACTGGAGCAGGAACGCGTTTATGTGAATCTTTTTTTTCCCTGGGAAGTGATCTTCTCTTTGCTACGAATTGGTCTTCCATTGTCAGAAGGGGGTACGAAGTTTCCATAAATTTTGATATTTGGAGAAAGTGCGCGACTCCGAGGATCTTCAGATAGTATTTTCCATATTTCAATTTGAATCTTAATATTCAGCTCAATTTTATACCAAAGAAAAATCTCTGGAGCTGCAATAAGAAGAATGGGCTGTAGCAATCGAGTTTTAAATGAGAGCACTGAAAATCGACAGAGAAGAGGATCTGAAGACAATAAGAAGACAGAGGTACTGACTTCTGTGCGTGCTGGGGTTTATGATAAACCTCCTAGCACCATTTGAAATCAGTACTACTCTTCTTAGCAATCTTCACCATCGACCACTAGGGATCTACTGGATTAGGAAGGATACGTGTTTTCGGCAGCAAGATTGGTATTAAAAATATCATCAGTCGACTTCTTATGTATCCTCTTTCGTTTTCTTTTTTCTCTTCTCTTTGATACAATGTGTATATATATATATAATTATATATATAGTTACACGAGGTGAACACGTGTTACAAGTTTGTGCAACAACCGGTTCAATTTATACGGTTTCGTGCTTATCCTCTACGTTCTTTATAAAGACTCTCGGTTTTCTATAATTACAACATACGCATTACTTATATATATATATATATGTATTGCGAAATATATGTAACATACATACATATATACTAAGTACATATATATGTACACGTAATACGTTTAGGCGAATAATTAATTACGTACAAGTCACACCGTTCATTATACTTTCTCTTCCAACAGCTGCAGTAGTTCTAATTCCATACGGTTCTACATCGAACCGAATTCGACGTTTTATTCTTTATCAGTATCATCTTTTTAATTTTAGAGGAAAATACAATTCCTCTTCGTGCCGTTTATACTATTGATGGACATTACGGAAAACGTATATTTATAACGAAAGATTAAAGTATCAGAAAATCGGCACAATCACACACAGAATGCAATTAGAACTGTAGAAGGTTAATCTTCGTTAATTTTCTTAAAAGTCTTCTTTTCTTCAAATTCTTACTGCAGCAGAAAGAAGTCAAAAGGAATGAACGGATCTAGTATTTAGCGAGGCAGTATGGAACATCGTATAATAAATAACTTGAGGCCTCTGAGGCCGCGATGATGGCATGATTAAAAGAATACGCGTCTATATATACAGTATCTCGAGTACAATTGTCCCAAGAAGTTAGAAAAATCGCGGTACGCCGTCGATTGCACCCAAGAGCATCTATGACATTTCAAGGACACTTAGGTACTCTTTCGTTCTGCTTCCCACGCGAACCAAACAATAATAATAGTAATAATAATAATATTATAATAATATTAATACAGAGTTCATTGGTTGCTCCCACTGTTTCTTCTACGGATATTAACAGCGATTTCACGTTAATTTATGGGTTAATTAAACAGGTAATGGAACCACACTGGATGTCACAATGAAGAAAACAGAAGCAACAGCAACAACGCAACGACGATGGTGAAGACTCTTGGTTAACTGTCCGGCAGTTAAGTCGAGTCCTTGCTTCTGCTGGTTGCCTGCAGCCTTGTCCAGGTTTCCCCAAGAGCCTTTGCAAAGTGATCATCCACTAAAAAAGTTTTTTTTAAATTTTTATAAATTCCTTGTTTAACTCTTCCTGCCTTGTATAAAATAAGACAGTGACGTACCACTAAGGCCTGCTTCTTTGTCAGTAGTGGTGGCGTTAAAAACTGCAGCGTACTCTTCTAGGCCTAAAGATCGCTTGAAATGCTCGTCTATTGCAGGGTCACTCACACCACCCACAGTTCTGACCCCGGTTCTTTGGCCTCCTGCTGCCGCCGACGGCGTCAGTGATGGAGTGGGCGTCACTGCCGTGTCCTCGATAGTTGTTCCTGGTAAACAGTACATATTTACTATTTCATCCAACATAAAATATGACATAGAACATACCCCAAAAATGTTTGACGTAGCGAAGAAACTTTTAATATCACAAATAATTAATACCGAAGGCTATTAATAGCAATTCTACTAAGCTTATTAATGGCAAATAACAAAATGAAATTAAAATGTTCAGTTTGGAATTCTCACCCCATTTTTACTTTCAAATCTAGCCCAACTAATTCTCAATCCATGCTAACTCAATTTTATTTAAAAAAATTCAAAACTTTAGCTGGTTTTTTTCTTTCAGAGTACTTCTCAGAGGAATTCCAGCTTGTAGCTAACGTGAATCGTCTATTCCTCTATTCAAGCCAAGCATCTGCGCGACGTGCATCACGCCACATTGTCAAAGCACGCAGTCACCCCATGCGTCAGACAATAGCCTGTTCTTGGTTGCCCCCCGCGAGGCCAAGAACAACGGCAGCCAGCCACTCGCCTAACGAATTCGCGTAGAACACCAGGAACTCGCAAGCAGAAGCTTACCAGGTTGCGGTGTGGTAGGAACAATCACGCTGGGCCTGCTGTGATGATGATGATGATGGACCCTGGCTGCGGACATGTCCAGAGCTTCACTTTGGATAGGATCCCTCCTACGCTCCTTACGCCACGCGCTACTCGGCTTCCGGTGGAGATTCGTCGTCTTCGGCCTCTCTTCTGCACAATAGATAAAAATCTTCAGATATTTTGAACTCTGTGCTTTTAACATATTATTCAGATTGAGAATTCTATTTTTCTAAATGAAACTTTTTGTAAGTTTATACATTTTTAGGCTTGCTAGTTTGTGAATGTTGTTTTTTTTTATGTTGTAACTATTCTGGTTGGTTGTTCGAGGTTCTTTAAAAAGAGATTTACCTTTACTCTAAAAGGGAGGTTTTTAAATGGACATAAAAGTACAGAGGACTCTCGCAGATTAGAAACAACGGTCATTGTCAGGATGTTGGAGGAGTTTCTTTATATTTTAGAGGAGTCTCTGTAAATAAATGGAATAACGAGGTTGTTTAATATTTTAAATAATCTTCATTTCCTCTTCCTATAGATAAAGCTTATAGACATATAGTGTAAACTATACCGATTCCTAAACTGCATGTATCTATCCTCGACTTTTTCTTGCACGTACAACTATAAATCATGATCGATAGCTCGGAGAAGCAGCGAATGGTCCGGGTTTCAAGCCATCCTTGATTCACCCTGCAATTCCTACACTATATTCATTCTTATAATTCTCGAAACGATCTTACGATCATTAAAGAATGAAGAGATCAAGTAAATCTGTCTTTGAGCCTCCGGCATCGCACTTAATTTATTTATAAAACATCGCAGATCACCTATTTCCGTTTCCCGCGATATCTAAAATCGGAAATCGATCTAACAACCCCTCGAACGATCGAGAAACACACGGAGGAGTGCGAAGAGAATAAAAGAGAGAGGTGGAAGAGGAGAACGCGAAGGGTGAGCAGAGAAACGAGACTGGTTCCCAGGATGGGGCAGGAAGTGCCTAATAGCCGTGAGAGGATCGTCAGGAAGACGGTCAAACTGGTTTAAAGGCAAAGGATGAGCTAGCGGCCAGGGAAAAGATGAATGGACCGAACGCGTGGATCGAAGCCGAGATCGTTCCGTTCAATTAACTATCTGGCTGCTGGCTTCTGCCATACTTTCGTCGAATTGAACAGAAGAGACCAGTTTACAAGTTTAATTTACGGAAGAAACCAGAGGCCAGAGCTCTGAAATATTAATGGAAGCTAGTTAATTTCAAATAAAAAGTTGAATTCATTACAAACGCATATAAAATACAATTTATCAGAGATAGATCACTTTCGAATTCATCTAATTACACTGTTCTTTCACTTCTTTTTTTACACTTGACGTTGAGTACCAACCATGGGAGAGTACCACTTCTCTGAAGCCTCAGATCCTTTTAACAGCGTGTATTCACATGCGTATAAAAATTATTTAGCGAACCTAAATGAGAAGGTTCGGGGAAAGGGCATCCCATAAACGATCCAGAACGTTTCCTCACGTACCTCCGGGTTTGTATACCGTTTGAAAGTTCTCCGTAGTGAGCCACGGCTGCCAGAAACACCTTCTCCTCGGCGAGATCTCCATGCTTCGAAAAATCTTCAGGTGTCATGAACTCAATTTGCAACCACCGTGAATACCAACAAGATTAATCATAAATCAATGATTCCTCCTCTCTTATTCTCTCACAGACGGTCCATAGAGCTTGAAGAAGCGCGGAATATCGCGAACCACCGACTGGTTCCCATCAAGTTATAAAAATTGCACAGATTTCAAGCCACTTTTTACAATCTTCTCCTTGTTTTTTTCTCTTTTTTTATGAAATCAGAGAATAGAATACGTGGAATATCCTTTCCATGGGAGGATCTTCTTCTCACCGAAGAAAGTGGCTTCCATGATGTCCTGGTAGCCTCGAGGAGAACTCGAAGAAAGCGGCGTGACGCGATCTATCGACGAATTCGACTGGTCGTCGGCCAGAAATCAGGACCATTGGCTCTTATAAGTATGACCCAGGCTGGAGGATCACCCGATTGTTAAAACTAGCACGTTAAAGGATACGGAACGACTGGGGACATTGGATACGAGTTTTCTGGAAAGATAGACAGAGTCAGAGATACGTGGATTCGTGAATGCCCCTCTTAACACGACTGTCTTAAGATTCATTCATTCATCCGCCTCGTCCCGTCGTCTGCCCCCTCCACAGCTGGTAAAGCTTGCCTTTTACACATGCACACGGTCTGCACGCTTGGATCTAGCGATGGCTCCGTTTTATCAATCATTCTTGAACAAATTTCTTCTGATGTAGTATATATATGTAGATATAGATACAGATATAGATATACAGATTAGTATCTTTTGAAACTTTCTAGAGCTTGTAGAATCCCGATATTAGCGTTGTTCTAATATTAGTCCTAAGGTAAGATTATCTTCGGAAACTTCGAAGGGGAATTTTTGAGGACCCTATTAAAAAAGTAATTAATTTTTATATTAAATATAGTGTGGAAATTGATTCAGATAGTTTACCATATAAAAGAATGGACGGTTTAACATTTCCTGATTTGAGTATTATCCAATGCTTGTTTTAGGATTAATTCGAAAGGTGTGTGATTGAAAGCCATCGCTATTTGGCTACAACAGTGTGAGTGTTAAGGGATACAGGCACCTCTTGCCAACTAACTCGCTTCTTTCCTCTTTCTTCTTCCTCTTTCCCCTTTTTTCCGTAGCAGGTAAGCGATCGATGCACATGTGCGTCCAGTACACGTGCACACTACGTCTAACGCCGTCACGTTGGCGAAAAAATTTCGCCTGATAAAGATCCTTGAATTCCTTCCATTAGTTCTGTAAAGTACTCGAATTCGAACACTGTCGGTTGTCTCGAAGGTACCCTTCTCTAATTCACTTTTGGACAATAATACATGCGTATCTGTACTTTCGACACATTTTTAAAATAATAATTACATGCTCTGTGAATATCAACGTTGTTACCATAAAAGAAATCTATAATTTCAATAATGGTATAGGCGACCTTGGATATTATTACAATATAATATATTCTGTTGTAATTGTATCTACCTATGCTTCAAGAATTAGTATTCGAAGATGGAGAAATCATACGAATCTAATTATTTTCAAATATATTTTACGCATTCGACTCAGAGTCTAGAGAATAGATAAAAAAAAATTAGTGAGAATAGGTCAACAACCTCGAAGCCTATCGATTTGGGCAAGCTATGGAACTCTGTATTATTGTTAGTCGTGTGATACCTAAGCAAGATCAAGGTGGCAAGTTATCCTCGAGGAATCGTGAGGCATTGAGGAGGAATGCTAGGCATTTTAATAGCAACGCAACCAGGTAATCGCGTATGGTTATCAGACGTCCGTACACCAGCGAATCGCGGTTTCGTGGGTGTGAATTCGTCGAATACTTCAATACATTTCGAACACGCTTGCTATATTTCTTCCACGTGCTTCAAAAATCTGAATTTAATTGAAATATATATATATATATATATCTATTTGATATTCTTGCTAGACGAGCATAATTTACATTTTATGGAATGTGCTGAATTAAAAAGAAACCTGCTAACTACACGTAGTGAAAATTAATATCTAAATATCGATCGAAACGGTGCTCTCTATTTTCTAGTAACAAATAAAATTGAAATAATACTTATTTAAGAAAAAATTATCTCTCTTTGTAGAATTCCCAAAAACCCAAAAAATATCGGAATCTCTATTCTCTACATTGGTACATTGCTTGAGCTTCTTTGTATTCAAAATAAAAAGATTCGGATCCACGGTTCATTTAAAAATTGACAAGTACGATAGTGAATCTATCTAAATCTACAAAGGTAAGATCACCGAGAAATCAAGTTGCTCGAATTTACCCTCTGATATCATATTGAAATCATTGACCACGCTGATAAGTAGCAGAACCGACCGGGCAAACGTATTTTTGGTCATCGAGAAAGTCACAGAATGCGCCATCATCCGCAGGCAGATGCAACTACGTCTGGTATTCGGAACAGGTTCGAGGCACGGCATTCCATCACAACAAACCACACACAGGAGGAACCAGTCACACTCTCGAGAACCGGAGAGAGAGAGAGAGAGAGAGAGAGAGAGAGAGAGAGAGAGAGAGAGAGAGAGAGAGAGAGAGAGAGAGAGAGAGAGAGAGAGAGAGAGAGAGAGAGAGAGAGAGAGAGAGAGAGAGAGAGAGAGAGAGAGAGAGAGAGAGAGAGAGAGAGAGAGAGAGAGAGAGAGAGAGAGAGAGAGAGAGAGAGAGAGAGAGAGAGAGAGAGAGAGAGAGAGAGAGAGAGAGAGAGAGAGAGAGAGAGAGAGAGAGAGAGAGAGAGAGAGAGAGAGAGAGAGAGAGAGAGAGAGAGAGAGAGAGAGAGAGAGAGAGAGAGAGAGAGAGAGAGAGAGAGAGAGAGAGAGAGAGAGAGAGAGAGAGAGAGAGGCGAGAGAGAGAGAGACGAGAGGAGCAACTCGATGATTTATGAAAATCATCGCCGCGAACGCGTCGTCATGCTCCCGATTGCCCTCGAAAGTGGAACCTTTTCTCTAATGCGTCACACTTTGCAGCTACACCTTTTTCTGACCATACACATTCTTCACCGTGTCATTTAAATCAATTCTCCTTGATTTACACCCTCAATTTAAAAAGAAGCCATGGAAGGTAGATATTCCTAAATAATAAGAATTTGTGGACCTTATAAAATTTCATACGAACAGTTCTTTTTAATATTGTAAAAGTAAGAAATTAATTTCTAGATTTACAACTAAGAAACTAGATATTATTTTCTCTTCAAAACTCCTCTTGCATTTTGAAGAAAATATTACCGGGTTTCTTAAATAGAAGAGAAACGAGGAAGACACACGATGATTTATGTTTTATCAAATACCAATGAATCAGTTTTCGATAAGAAACCTAGTTCCACTCCTATGTTCCCTCCATAGCTTCGGGACTCGAAACAACTAAAATCTCAACATGATTCAAAAGTGATATAATAAAATCCATCGTGCCTTCGTTCATTAAAATACCAGAATGAAGCTCGTAACATAATAGAATGATTCAACTATTCCAACGCGAGAAGACTATTGTTTACGGTCGATTACACACTAGACTATTGCGAAAATGACACACTTTAGCTAGCAAACGTTTCGTGATACTGTGAGAAGCGGCTTTAAGAATACAGAATAATCAGACTGACTCCTTTCGACAAGAAGATTAATCGAAACGTGCTCCGAGAGTAGAATGAAATTGTTTTGATGTTTGTTTAATGTTTGTTAATGTTTGTGTTTCGTTTGTTTAACTGTTTGAAATGAAACGTCACAGGAGACTCGTTCGAGGCTCTTGCCAAGGAGTCCGTCGGAGGAGTCGCGAACGCGACGAATCTAAAATAAACGCCGCACAATGTTATCTAATTCGACGCGAAATTGGCATTTCGCAGGAATGCGGGCTCGTACTGGCCTCCTCTCTTCTTACATAGATCCTCAACAACCCTACCGAACAAATTCCATCAATTCGTTCGACGGGCCGTGATTTATCTCGCCGCGGTTGGTCATGGAAACGAGACCTTTTAATCGCCTTCGTGGACTGGGAAATTTCCTGAAGGAAGTGTGAATGCTTCTGGGTAAAAACTTTGGAGCATGACTTGGTAAACTGGATATCTGAAAATGATCTGGTTTTAGGTTTCATGGAAATTGGGTTGACGGGTTAATTACGTTTTCTTCACTTTCTTCTATTACCGTAAGATCATAATGCGAAAAAGTTGAAAACTTTTTGTACGTACTAGTATGTAAAATTAACGCGAATTTTACGTATACAGAGTACTGCAGAAAGCATAATCAACAACATCACGTAATCTAAATTCCACGGTCGTAGCCAACACATTCCATTGCCCATAATTTTAGTTTTACTTCCAGTTTTCATTTTGTAACGTAACGTAAGTCTACGCTTTATTACGAAAACAATTTGACACTCGTTGAAACATTGTATTTTATCCTGTAATATCCTGTACCTTGAAACAGTACAATTAGAATAGCCTTAGCCCTCTATCATAATGCGATCATACTTTGAAACAACAACTGGTGACGGTGACAACTGATTGTTGTACCAGTGATCTATATCGAGCTAAATAACAATCTGCTATGGAATACCCAGTTCAGTTTCCGATCCACTATAAGCTTGATCAATCAACAATCATGAACAATCACCAGCAATCCATTGAAAGCTTAAGTCACGAGGCAAACTGACCTTGCACCATGGTAGCCGCCCTGGAGAGGACGTCCAAGGCGCTCTCGACGGCGGACATCTCTTCTCTCGTACTTCTTCTTCGAGAACTTGAACAAAGGTATCCTTGATCCACCAATTTCACCCTTTTTAGTTTTTATTTCTAAAAGAACTTCACTTGTCCGCGGGATTGAACTTCAGATAGGAAGTGTTTCTCGAGGTAGAGATGCAGCAGGTGTTCGACACACGGGTTGAAATTCCCGCGATAGAACGCTGACGACCACGGCACCGTCACGAGGATCTCTGCTCTCTGGGGACAGAAGTCGAAGTTAACTGTTTGGGGGCCTTCCTCGCGGCCGAAGCCAGTACAAATAAAGTAAAACGGGGATTAAAAAACGTGACATTGTCTGTGGAATGCGGACCCCTCACCAGAGGTCTGCCGCCCGCGTCCTCCGCCTCTTCGCGTGCAGCCCACCCGACGCCGCTTCGCGAGTCCCCACGCGTATCCACTCGATCCCAGATCCCACTCCACCCACCGTTAACATACCGACTAGTAATGGCTTCGAATTACTCTCCAATTATTAGATTAGAACAAAAGTTCTTACCACTTTTATATACATATATAGACTTATATATATATATTTGATTTGAGATGTATTCAATAACGTATATTATAGTGGATAAGTATTTAGAGACTTGCAGATTATTGCAAATATATAAAATAGTTCAAATAAAGCTCTTCGATCTAATTTTCTGATCTTTTATCTCAAGGAAATACATACAATTAGTAGACATTGGTAACATTAATAGTTGGTACTACGTAGTGTAAATAAAAAAGCAATGATCGAAGCTTGATGAAATATATCTGTTCAATATTGACATCTTAGAATGATCGGAATATATGTTTCCAACTATATTCTGAAAGTTTCCATGGACTTTATGAGGTATAAGCTATTTATTAGAGATAAATATAGAAGTTGATCAATGGTCGGTATATTACTTGTTTCAGTTTCAGTTTAGCAGAACATTTGGTCGCAATTAAGGCAAGAAGTAAAGAATTAATAATAGAGAGACATTCTCCTATTATAATGTTGAAAATATAATAAAGATACCAATGTTTTGATTGAATTGCAACAAGTGTCCAAATACTTATGCAAGGTAGTATATATACCATGTGCGACATGTCGTGACATCGAAAATTATATCACCGCTGAAAGAAAGAAAATCCTTTAGGATCTTGTATTTTTTACATACAAAGCTTTATTTAAGGAAATAAACGCTAAGAGGATATTAAGAGTTACTTGATCGGTGATACTTGTGTGTATGTTTGTACAGCGATAACTCCGAATTATGTAGGCATGCTCAAAGCTATTACTAGTAACAGTGTTCCTCTTCTTACTCTCGTATCGCGCCTCCTGCTCTCTTTCCAAACTTCCATGCAACCGGCGTCGCAATTTCATTTCTAACAACATAAACAATGCCTCTTAAATAGTACTTTCAACCTATTATTGTGTCTCTCATCGACTCCTTTCTGTTTCCGTGGCAAAAATAAGAATTATCTAAGGTGAATGCATACTTTTCGTACTCGATAGTAATAACAAAAGTGAAATTTTGTTTTTCTAGTGTAATAAGTATACTTAGAAGGACGATTCCAATTGGAGTAAAGTCCAAATGGAGTAAAAGGAAACCAATAATCTGGTAATTTGGATCAAATACTTTTACTCCCACTCCGATATTCTTGCAAGCTTTTTCTAGATTCTTCCTGAAACGTATCTTGTCAACAATATCTTTTTTTAAATACTAATCTCTCGTTGGAATGTAGAGTTACTGATAAATTTAAAAGCTGATAAACATTCAATCGAAGATTACAAGTCAGAAAAGTAAATAATCGTGCCTCGCTAAATGAAATTCATCGAAAGCGATGAATCAACGAAACGCCGGGCACGCGAATTCCAGTCTCATGTAACAACATACACGCAAACGCGCGGGCATAATTAAAAAGGTTCAAATCTGTAACAAACATTTTTCGTAGAAAGCATGATAAAAGAATAATTTCTGAAAATCACTCTGTATCATTGCTGCAGTTCATGAATTTTTATGTCTCAATCTCATTCTTGTTTTAACAAGACTTAATATTCTAAGAAAAGTTGTTGCACAAGATTCAAACAAAAGGCTATGCATATCAATACAACAATAATATACCTCTATATCCTCTGCAAACGTGAGAAATTAAAAAAAGAAAGAAATTGGGCCAAAAAGGACAAAGACCAAAGTTAATAGAAAGTAGACGACCGGTGATGATTTTAGTAATTTTCTTACCAACTTTATACATTCTAAGAAAATCTTTAATGTAAAATAAAAATGAGAAAGCATGCATATCAGTGCCGCAATAATACTTCTGTATGTTTTTTCAAACTTGAGAAGTTAGAAAAAATTGTAATTGTGCCGAAAATTGGACTAGAAGAACAAAAAGCAAGATTAATAGAAAGTAGACGGTAAATCGGTAACGATTTTTATAATTTTTTTACCGACTGAGCATAATGAAACGTACCCCTCGTCTCTCCGCCCGTCTTGAGGCAAGAATCGATAGAGGAATGCGACGTAGCGTGAAGAAAAAAAAAGGAACGAGCCACGCATTCCTCAAGGTAAATCGAACTTAAGGTGGTTCTTCCCCCCATTTCCATGATTCACTCACCGATGTTTCTGCATTGACAGGCTGACGAACAGAGGATCAAACATCCGGCACGACGTCCGCTGGCACGTCGAGCCAACGCACAGTACGTATTTTCATTGAAAACGATGGAAAATCTAATGGTATGCGGTCGAACACACAAGGAACACAGGCTCTTTGACACACGAGAGCCAGCCTCGATTCCCCACTACTTAAACATTACGCTGGAATGTCTGGTATTCGTCCGTCGAGGCGCCCTCTAGCGGGAAGATTGCCAGAGGCACAAACGCGCGCCACGCCGACCGTATAAATACAGTTCAAACTCCCTCTTTTCCCTCCAACAATTATGCCTACAATTTCATATAATTCTTTCTTAGCAAACAAAATTTTTGAAGGGCTAATTCTTCTTAGATTTCTTTTAAAGTTGAGCTTAAGTTTCAATTAGCCTGTAAACCAAGGATTATTAAGGAACAACAGTACTATAGATGATTTTTCTAAATATATATAGGGGACGTAGAATAGAATACCTGTCTTTCTTTCAGTTTTCAGGCAATTCAAATGTTTTATTCAACATATTTAGCATTAAAAACAAATTCGGAGGCGTAACCTCTTGTATACTCTTCTAATATTTGCATAAAATCTGTATACACAAGTCATGAGCGTAATAAGACATATCTTGCAATGAGATTTTGACATACATTAATGTCAAATGTCAACACAATGATAAAAAAATTAAAATAAAGCGATTGCAATTAACGAATATGGATATTAGATTATAAATTCTTCCAATGCTTTTTATGTGGTAAAATTGAATTCTTTAAATATTGTATTACAAGAACTAGAACTTTGTTAAAGAGAAAAATTCGCATATTTAAGGTATCACATCATTTCCATCATCCTCATCATCATCGCTTATGCTATCCAACGCGTAACAAAGCTGTAATTAAAAATTTAATAAAAAATTGACAAAATTGAACGATTCAACATAAAATTTTTGGGATATATGTACCTCGTCTAAATCGGGCCTCTTAAGTATTTGCTCCAATCCTGATAATTTTTCTAAATAATTCGGTATATTACACGCGTCCAAAACAAAAGATAAACCCCGATTTTTATATTCCGCGATAATGGGCACAGAGCAAGCTGTGCAGGATGTAAATCTATGAGTAATCGTCAAGTGAGTATCGTAATTCCACAGGGAACCTCGTATCGTATGCGGTATACATCCCAACAAGCCTACAAATTCTGTATCGCTTGGGCTAATATCTCTGCTGTTACCCACCAACGCTGCAGCCTCGATTCTGTTAGATACAAAACAATAAACTATTAATTATAGGCAATTGAAATATATTTAACTTTTATTTGTATTAAAGTTTGTATTATTTTTTTTTTTTTACCCTTGAGAGTGCTGCAACAAAGCTACCAATAACTCGACTGCTAATCCTGCAGCAATCTGTGATAAACCCGGCCTGCTAACTGTGCATTGCTGATCCAATGTTCTGTCAGTTTGTGACTATAGAATAAAATAACTTTTATAAAAAGAATAACAATCGTAATAATTTTATGATAGACTTACATTTCCAGGCTGTGTTACATCGTTACAAAAATAGCAACCAAGGTCCATACCACAGGGATTCCTAGCATCCAAGTCTGGTGAAACTGGACTAGTGAAATTTCGAGTACCGTGCCTCTGTACTGTATAAGAATCAAAACCCAAGGCTGCATTGATGGCAATCTTGTTCTTAGCAGCGCAGAGAACCGTAGGTAGCCACCTGGCCTCTCGAGAATCCAATAGAAGAAAGACAACGTCGCTCTTCTCGACAAGTTCTTCCAATTTTTCCAAGGACTGCTTCGTAGAATCCAGCATACTTTTACCAACAACATGCCCGGGCATTGGAATGTGTAAAACTACACCTTCTGCATTCTATGTTATTAGTAAAATTAATTTAACAAAGCATCGATGAAATTAAAGATTTTTATGTACTCACTATGCTCGGTCGGATGTTCAATAAAGCGTCCTTAGCTGCATATGCTTTATACTTATGCTTCACAGCGTCCTGGTGACTGTACAAACTTTGTCGCACTGTATTGCTATGAGATACGTTGGAGCTATCGACGAAAGTTATGTTATTAACTCCCCAACCTAGGAGAACTCTTGCTACGGAACAACCTAAGGTTCCAGCGCCTAATAAAAGACACTTAAGATTACAGATCTTTTCTAAATCTAGGTCAGGAGCAAGACGCCATTTCATTAGCTTCAAGTTCAGATTGATAGCTCTGTCTGACAATCTGATAGAAGATAAAAATGCCACTGAAATATTTGATATGTGTGCTTATCGTTAGTATTTAATTTTTTTTTAAATAATTACTTGGTTGGATCCATTGTATCAGATAAATTAACTATGGTGGGACCCAATTTATCGTTTGAGTTGCTTTCCCAACCCACCAGATGACTCATAAATAAAGCATCTCTTATGTCTTTATAATTTTCATATTCTTTGGTCTTAAGTTTAAAAACAATACTTTTCTGTGCTTTATTCCCTCGTATAGAAATAAATTTAATGTTTTTTGAAAAATAATATATAGGACAATGCCAACATAAAAGGCATAAAAGATTACGTAAAGGCCAACCTGGATTGGAAGTCGTACATGGGTCATAAAATGCAAAATATATTTCACTATATTCCTAGAAAAATAGGTAAATATACATATATAAAAACAATTGTATTGTATTTTTATACAAAATAAATCTTTTAATATACTTGTGATTGCTTTTCCCTTGCATTAATTGTTTCTACTCCTGTTGCCAAGTCAATAATACTCAGTTTACCTTCTTTTGATATTGAAACTGTAAAATAACTTTTTGTCCTGCTATCTAATTGTAAAAAATGTTGAGACAAATCTTCTACTTGTTTGGCTGTGAATTCTTCATTAATTGATTGTGGAGATTCTTGATAATACATTTCAGGCAATTTCAATGGAGTGGGATGTGCAACCCAATAATAAAATTTATATTTTTTTAAATCTGAATAAGCCAAGACTAAAAACAATGACAATTTCCATGGGTTTTGCAATATTGTTCCATCTTGAATATTATTTATAATATCCTTTCCCATGGAGTCGATAAATTGTTCAGGATTAATTTGACGAAATGCTTCAAAAGTATTTGTATTAATCATATGTCCAAAGCAAAGAACCGATGAATTATTATTTAATGTCTCCAAGTCTCTAAAAATTACCTATATGGAATTAACTCTGAAAGATATTTGAAATACAATGGTCGAAATAATAAATTATGTCACAGACATAAACATACTCATTGAACGATGTGAAATCCAACACCAATGGATTGGTGTTGTCTTCGTTTAACGATTGCAGATTGTAATTTCCCCATAGATTGACACTTTTCTCATCAAGTTTGAATTTGTCAATCTTCAATTCCACAAATTTTGCCCAGAAGGTGCTGTCTGTAGAAGATCTCAATTTTGTAAATTTTACAAATTTCGCCATTCTCAAACTTCTGAAAATGATTGAACCATTCAATAAAAATACGTTATCAAGATGATAACAATAACAAGACTCACAAGTATATATTACAAGTTCCAAAGCACGACCACTGGGTCTGCTTATCTCAAAAACTCGCACGATATTATTTACTCTATTATCGATAATGAATTAAACTAGTAGTACAGGGCGAAAAAATTCATAGAATCGAAGGAAAAGCAATTAATCATCGCATCAGGTCGCGATTTTAAGAATTTTCTACACGCATGCGCGTGTTTCGTACAAACTAATAAATTGCACTCTTTTCAAAAACCAAGTAGTAGAAAATTTTCTTTAACTTTCTCTCTGGAGATTACCTGTAATGCAAAATAATATTTTTTCTTATAATTATTATTATTATAGTAATAACTTATTATGACTCGTTAATTCCTAATATTCAACTGGTAAAAGAAGAAATTATTTATTTTCAGAAAAGCCATAAGTATTAAAAATTGAACTGTAAAATAAAAATTAGCTTGGACCATTTCAATATTTTTAAATTTTTAATATTTTATATCCTATTTGTATGTATCACACATATTTGTGATTACTAATTGTACATATAGATTGTTAATTATCATACAAATTGTTATCAGTTTTCTAATCATGAGGATATAAAGATGTGAGTTAGCAATAAAGGAAAGTGATATAAGAATGAAAAGAGAACGCTGCATAGAGGCCTCTTGTGTCCTCATCTAATAACGTACGCACATTCATATAATAAATAATTAAGTATAACACTAATCAACGAGCGACGCCTCCATGCAGCGTTCTCTTTCTGCTCCCATATCGAATCCACTTACACGGTAACATATGACTCGCGTACTCTATCTTTATATCTCTATACATCTAGTACACAGAAATGTCATTGATACGGTACTGTCGGATCGTCACTAATTATAAATATAGCTCCAATTTACCCTTCACTTTCTAAATTGATATTATCGCACAGTAATTACGTTAACTTGTTAATTAACGAAATAATTAATTTGTGTGAAAGTAATAGAGATTGTTATCATTTTTAGAATACAAAAATACCACTGATACGGCACTGTCGGTGACGTCAGAAAGACAGTATGGCCGGACAGCATCGGCTGTCTGCATTGTAACGTACAGAAACGCTTTCTGGGGGTTCGACGGGATATTTTAAAGGAAATATGTCAGATTATTTAAGATCCGCTCTGGGATACTTGAACGGAGCCACAAATACCAATGAATACGTCGGACAAATACTGGAAATCAACAATGTGAAATTACGTGTGACCAGATTACTCGCCGAGGGTGAGTCTGTCAACCCTTCTAGCACTCCACTGTCACACAATTCCACATCCTAATTAAAACATTTCCATATTATAACCGTTTTTAATTATAGAATAAAAATACTTGTTTTTTGATGCAATTTAAACTATATAAAACAATAGCTGACACTGTGCCAACACTGTATATTATTCTCCTTTTGACATGTGTCAAATGTGTTTTGACATTCAGCTATGCAATGCTAGTGAACCAGTTTGCTATATCTAGAATGTTTTTAAAAACAGCCAATTAACTAAGATATATGCATTCAAATACCTATATATTATTGGCAGGTGTTGCTATATACTTTACCTGAATATATAATTCATTCTCTAAATTTAATATAGTTTGTTATAATGAAAACATAAATGAATTAAGATTGAGACAAGGAACTATATACAATTGCTTTTCCATGGTAAAGAATTGCTGATTCATTCAGAAATATTGATATTTAAAAAACATCATTACTGAGATAAAAGTTTTATGTGTAAACTTTATCATACATTTCTCTAGTACTTCAGACTATATTTCTTTCTAAATTATTTATTCTGGTCAATATTGAAATACTTGTATCAACAGGTGGTTGGGCTTTGGTATTTGCAGTTGAAGACATAAATACAGGGAAAGAGTATGCACTTAAGGTAAATCACTCATCCATTTACATTATTCTAAAGTAGCTACAGAAGGTTATACTGATCTGCACTTATTCTTCCAGAGGCTTATAGCAGTTGATGAAGATGCTAACAGAAGTATTATGCAGGAGATAGAGATTTTGCAAAAACTATCTGGCCACCCAAATATAATTCAGTATCTCTATGCTCAGCGTTTCGAACGCGAGGATCGTCAAGGATACGAGTATTTATTAGTAACGGAATTATGTCCTGGAGGTACAGTCGCAGATACGCTCAGAAATTTATCGACGAATTCTCTGACTCTCGCCCAGATCTGTAAAATAGCCTACCAGGCTACAAGGGCTGTGCACCATATGCACAGTCAGCAACCTGAACCACTAGTACACAGGGACATAAAATTAGAGAATTTTCTAATCGGGAGCGATGGTCTGATCAAGCTCTGCGATTTTGGTAGCACTTCCAATCAGCAAATCTTGCCAAATCCATCTTGGAATGCTCAAAAACGCGCCACTTTGGAGGATCAGATGGCGAAATATACTACACCCATGTATCGAGCTCCAGAGATGATGGATACATGGAACAATGAGCCTATTGGTCCTCCAGTTGATTGTTGGGCGCTTGGATGTATAATATACTCTCTAATAACACTAAGGCATCCATTTCCTGAAGGTATTCAATTCATATCATGTTAATAGTAGAGTCGGTTCTTATTTAATTTCGTTTCATTCACAGGTAACAAGCTCGCAATAGTTAATGGCAAGTACACTTCACTTCCGCCTAATCCTCGTTTAGCCTGTTTACACGACATAGTAAAAGGATGTCTCGATGTGTCTCCGATACGAAGGCTGACTACATCAATGATTTTGGAGCGGTTAGCAGCGATAGCCGAGTCAAACAATTTTGATCCTAGAGAACCCCCGAAAGTGGAAGTTTCAGTGAAGACTCCACCGCCTCCCAGACCTACTCAACCACCTAGCACACCCACTCCGCCACCGAGACCATCTCCTCCGGTAAACGTACTACCTCCAAAGTCTACTCCAGCGACTCAAACTGCAGTCGCCAAGATCCCCGTAGCTCAACCGACAGGCCTATTTAGCTCATTGAAAGGCGGTGCTGGCAGCATTTTGCGAAACTTGAAGGATACTTCGAGCAAAGTGATGTACTCTATGCAACAGAGCATGGCCAGAACTGAATTAGATGCCAGTTACTTAACGTCGCGTATATTAATCATGCCCTATCCAGCAGATGGAATAGAGTCTGCCTATAGAGCTAACCATGTGGAAGATGTAAGAGCATTTTTACAAGCTCGACATCCTCCGCCAGCTCGTATACAATTGTATAATTTATCTCGGGGTCGACCAAACGTGTCTAGACTTCCTGGTAGACATATCGACTGTTCTTTCGCCTATGCTTCCTCGGATTCTAATGCCCCGCTGTTGTCAGCTCTCTATCAGATATGTCAGGATATTTATCGATACCTGAATGCCGATTTTAATCACATCGTAGTGTTGTATTGCAGTGTGAGTATACTTTGGAGCCTCTTAGATTAATTAGAAGCCATAATATTTTTTAATGTTGCTTCCTTCTTTTAGGATGGATATAGAGCCAGCGCCACGATCGCGTGTACTTTACTAATATACGCTAGAGCATTCTCTACATCTGAAGAAGCCATAGCGATGTTCATAACAAGGCGACAGCCTCCCCAGCTGCAACCCTCGGAATTACGCTGTATTAATTATATGAGTTTGCTGAGTACCGGTGTACAGCCTCATACAAAGCCTCTAGCCCTTTGTTCCTTAATAATTAAGCCTGTTCCACTATTTACTAGGGCAAAAGATGGTTGTAGACCTTATGTTGATATTTATAGCAACGGAGCTTTAGTATTTTCCACTAAGCGACCAGAATACGAGGACATAAAACTGTTTGGAATGATGAAGGGAAAGGTTCAGTTGGCACTTGGCAATGCTACCGTTAGAGGAGATGTTACTTTAGTCATATTCCACGCCAGGCAGCAGCTGGGTCGAATGATAGGAATTAAAATTGCCTCTGTTCATTTTCATACTGGTTACATACCGCTTAGTGAATCTGCTTTAACGTTCAAGAAGAAGGATCTCGATGATGCGCCTGAAATAGGCGGGAATTTCAGTGTTATTTTAAATATCATGATGGCTGAGGAGAATCCAAAGATGGCAAGAGTTCCAGCTCCTTGGGAAGCGGAAATGTCCTCGAAATTGGAACCAGATCCATTATTCGGATCTACTTTGGAAATGGAAGAAACTTTAGAGAGCTTTAGAATCTCTAAACCAGAAGAGGTAAGTTATAGAAATATTTCTATTAAAAATAATTAAAGTTTAGAGATTTTATGATATTTCGATGTAAAAATGTTAGATTCAGAGAGAAGTAACGACTCCGCAACCAGTCGAAGCACAAAGCAACGTTAATGTACAACAAGAAGTACCTCAACAGCCAGTAGAGGACATAGAAGAGCAAATAAAAGAAGAAATCAAGTTACAAGAAGCAGATTTATTGAACCTAGGAATGCCAGACACCAGTACCTTGAATAATACTGCGCAGGCTACAGTAAACCCGGGATTAGATATTTTTTCTAACTCGTCAAATTTAACTAGTCAAAAAGAAAGTGATCTCTTAGGAGGCTTTGGTGATTTTATTCAACAAGAAACGAAAAACACCGTGCCCACTATTACCGATCCTGTCCAAAACGATCTACTATTTGGACACGATCAGCCTACTACTAAGAATGACAATGCTAATAATAATTTGAACAATTTGTTCTTCAATCATAGACAGCCTACTACTAAGCAAAACCTTAACGATTTATTTGATCCACTCGGTGGAAACACTGCGAATTTTTTAGGAAGTATGCAAGGTTCTAAACCAAATAACACGAAGCCTCTATCCGAGGAAAACTTTCCAAGAAATTCGAGCGTTCCGAACTTCGCAGCTCAAAACAAGGATCCCTTCGCGAGTCTTGCTAGCTCCCTGGGAGCTGGATTAACGTCCAGTTGGAATGGAACGCCGAGGAACTCTAATACTCCACAATCCGCTAGCCCCGCTCCAGCTAGCACACCGATACACTCTAGCCCCAATACGCACAGGAACGCAACTAACGAGACCAATACCGCTGCTGCTGCTGCTGCTGATACCGGTGCAACAGGCAATAAAACAAGCAAACCAAGTGGAGATGCTTTCGAGGATCTATTGGGCAGTCAAGGCTACAATTTCTTCAGTTCGAGGAAAGCAGAGAAAGACAGCCCAAAGACAATAAATCAAATGAGAAAAGTAGAAGCTGCTAAGAATATGGATCCAGATAGATTGAAGATTGCCGAATGGACAGAAGGAAAGAAGGGTAATTTAAGAGCCCTTCTTTGCTCGTTACATACGGTTCTCTGGCCAGAAGCTGACAGATGGCAACGGTGCGAGATGCATCAGTTAGTTTCTGCTGCGGATGTAAAGAAAGCTTATAGGAAAGCTTGTTTGGCTGTGCATCCGGATAAGGTATTATTCAAAATCTGAAACTATCGAGTAAAATGTTAATATAGATATGAACAACGATATCGTTTCTAATCCTTTTTCATACTATTCTTTATAGCAAGCAGGAACGGCTAACGAGAACATTGCAAAGTTAATTTTCATGGAACTGAACAATGCTTGGAGTACATTCGAGAACGATGCGTCGCAACAAAACCTATTTAGTTAATTATTCCGATCTGACTGTTATATACTTGTTATGTCCACGAGTTAAGGTAGTTCCTAGCGGAAAGAGAGACCCGAGAATATTATTAATTATTATTAATTATTATTAATTGTAAGATATTGACTATATTATTATTATTGGTAAGACATGACTCTCCGTGTTACATTCCGACTAATGTTATCTCAGCTGTAGCGGAAGAAGAAAAAAGAAGAAGCAATTAAGGGATTATAGTGAATGCAGATTTTCGAAAAAGCTGCATCTAAATGGCTAACTATGTACATGCATCTTCTTATCATATGAAAAAAGCCTTGTAAGATCACTTAAAAAAAGGGGAACTGTATTAGACGTAACTGCGGCATAACGTGTATATGTATATAAGGCAAAATGTAAATTAAGGAAGATTCCAAATATATAAAGATATTTTCCGGCCGACTACAGTCTCTTCCATATTCCACCGTCCATCCACTGTCTATTTAACCAAGACTTCTTAAACATCTAACAAATTCCAAATAATTTTAAATACTATTTTTTGTAACTTTTTATACAATAAAAAAGGGGATTATTTATTTAAAAAGCGACTATTTTATTTACATTAATAATAAAAAAACAAGACCACAATTTTAATATCTTTTAGAGGGAAGTTGAGAAATTGAAACAGTAGAGCCCAATCTTAATGTTCGATGTCTCATGGTCCACAGAGAGACGCACATGAGAGATACATATATAAGTACGTGTGGTATAACACGTATTTGCGCGAGAGAATGGTATGTGTACTATAGGGGTGAAATTTAAAGGGAGGGGCTGCTCGAAAATGGCTGTTATGCACGGGGTAGGACGTCTAGAAGAGGGCAAGTGACGGTTCATCCCTGTCTTCCACACTGACCAATTGACATTATTTTACGACAATTGATACGGTTACCTAATCGATAGCTATTATGTGGCGGTTAAGAAGCAATCTTCGTACTGCTCTTCACCCACCCCCGGATCTGCGACATATGATTCGCTTCGGGAAAAGGTAAACTGTCACAGCTCTTTTTCCTCTGTACACGTTCAAATTTTCTAAATTCAATCGTTAAATTTATCCGATTTTATGCACTGTTTCGTCGTGCGTGAAAAGTTCCATGATTTTTTTTAATAAAGTGTGAACCTTGGAAACTGGAGTGCGCAAATGACTAAAAAACGTTTCAGGGAGAAAGTATGAAATAAAAAAATACCTTTTACGGAAACAAGACAACGTTTTGTGTCAGAATCAGATTAATCATGGCATTATTCGCGCAAACACGCTAGAAATACGAGATATTTGTATGTAGCATTGTCAACAATGTGAGACTAATTTGTGACACATCCATGAACCATAACTGACTCATGTAATTATATACAATATATATCAATGACGAATAATTCGTTAATTCCGATTTCAACGATTACAGATTGGAACCTTATATGAATGATGTAAGTCAGAAGAGCTAAGCAAAGAATAATACAGTGGAGAGAAAGACAGAAAAGCGAAGAAGATGTTCGGCTTCGCTTGGAGATTTCTATTCCTCTTTTTGCTGGGTACTTGTTTCTGTCTCTGCTCTACGGATCCTGCCAGATCTGTGAGAGCCATTAAGGGACGGTTTCGAACATCTTACGCTGCATGGCGTATCGTGCTGTGTCTGACACAACCACAGGGTTCACTAAAGACAGATGTACAAAAAGCATGGGAGAAGGCAAGGCTGGAGTCATCTCATGCAGACATGAACGTGTCTTTCATAGAGGCACCAGTCAAGACAGATTCGCTGTCTTATCCTCTGTCACTGTTAAGTAAATTCTGTAATGAAATCAAAGCTGGGAAAACTGTATTGAGTCTTATCATTGGAGGAGGATCTGCAGCCAAATTTCTCGTCACTGCTGCAGCTTCCTTGAATATTCCAGCCTTGTGGCTACCATTTACACACGAGGATTTCCTTAGACAGGTTTGTAGTCATGGATAAGCTGCTTTCCTAAAAAATAGCTTTTATGTAGTCAACAAAAGATTCGAATTTACAGGGAAATATTGGTCAATACGAAAGTCGTATAGGTTCCAGTACAAGGGAAGTGGGAGCAGCTGCTGCTGCCTTGATGCATAGAGCAAATTGGCATGCATTCACTCTCCTTATAGACACTACCTTGCTGCCAATGACTCATCTTTTACACGCGAACCAAACGACCTTAACACCTAGAACTATTATACATCTTCCAACGAATGACAAGACCTTAAGGATGAGACTCAAAAGAGTTGCCGAAGAGGGTGGCAGTGGAGGAGTCATAGTGATGGGTTGTGACTTGAACAGTGCACGAAGAATCCTAGCTGTGGCTGGTAAATATGAAATGCTTGCAGGAAGATTTCTGTGGCTCTGGTTGGATCTGAAAGCAGAACTGAGACCCAATGAACCAAATATAATCAGTTCTACTATTATACACAGCTCAAGATCGTCGATAGCAACGAATGAAAATCCTTCACCCGTAGAGAGTATAAACCGAAACGTGAATCTCGTAGCGGAAAGCCAGTTATCGTTAAACTCTTTGCCCAGTTTAGCGAACGATATACATCGATTACAAGAATATAGGTGGCAGAGCGAGAGGTCTGTGAACAAACAAGAAGATAGAAGCTTTAATTTTGACGACGACGAGGATATCAGAATAATGGACAAAGAATTGAATTCCAAGGATTTTATGCCAGTCGGTATGCTAGCGTTGAGACCCTCTGGTATAAAATTGATGGGTAGTGACACTATATTATCCAGAATGATCAGGGAGACCTCTCAGGCGCTGGACGAAACATTCTTAGAAGTGAAACCCAGACTGAATCGTTTGGGAGAAGCTCAGCTCGAAGAGAACTTCGTACCAGAATGCTTCCCAAAAAGTAGCGCCAAATTTTTGATGAGCAAAATGAGGCACAATGTTTCCAAGACCTTGACTCAGAAGTTAAGAAATTCCGTGAGTCAACTTTCCAGGGACAAGGCTAAGTTTCATTTGCTGAACTTACAAGCCATAAGATTTCCAGGAAATAAGACTCAATTGAGGTGTGTGTTTAATTAAACGTTTTTGTTAAATAATTGAGTCTATCTTTACAATCCTAAATCTAAATTGTTCCAATTATTCAAAACACTATGTTCGAGATAATGTATTCCAATGTTTTTCCGCACAGATGGACGAAAGTCGGCACGGTGAAAGGTGGAAAGGAGGTTCATCTAGACACGATAATTTGGCCAGGAGGTGGAATCGTGCCAGCGTACCTGGAGCAAGGAGGCGAAAAAATTGGCATGCCAATGTATCGCATAGTAACAGCACTGGCACCACCGTTTACGATGGTTACGAATCTACAGGAAGGTCTTTGCTTAAGAGGACTGTTTTGTCGTCAAGAAAATACCTTGATGTGTTGTTACGGTCTAAGCATGGACTTGATGTCCCTGGTGTCTCGTGAACTAGGATTCCGATACGACTTGTATCTGGTAAAAGATGGCCTGTTCGGCAAGAGAAACGGCAGTACATGGAACGGAATCATGGGAGAACTGGTCTCTGGTAGAGCTCAATTAGCCTTCGCACCACTCAGCGTGTCTGCTCGTAGAGCAGAAGTAGTCGACTTCACGACACCGTATTTCTTCAGTGGGGTCAGCTTCCTCACTGCGCCAAAGCTCAAGTCAGAAATCTCGCTATTTGCTTTCCTATTTCCATTCAGCACAGAGCTGTGGATCGCTGTTTTTACGTCATTGAATTTTACTGCCATAGCAGTGGCACTGTACGAATGGTTCAGTCCATTCGGCCTGAACCCATGGGGTAGACAACGAAGCAAGAACTTCTCGATAGCTTCTGCTTTGTGGGTAATGTGGGGTCTTCTTTGTGGACATTTGGTCGCCTTCAAGGCACCAAAGTCTTGGCCTAACAAGTTTCTAATCAACATTTGGGGCGGTTTCTCCGTTATCTTCGTGGCTTCCTATACGGCCAATATAGCTGCCCTTATCGCGGGTCTCTTTTTCCACCCTGCAGTGAGCAATTATCACGATAAAAGTGTAAGCAGATTTTTGACTAGGATATTATATCTTATTTCTGAATAAACTAGCTAGTAATTGTGTTATGTGTTGCAGTTACTGTTGCAAAGAGTTGGAGCACCAAGAGCATCCGCAGCCGAATACTATGTACAGAAAGCAAACACACAATTGTGGTCTCACATGGCCAGATATTCTTTGTCGAACATCGCCGAAGGCGTGGAGAGATTAAGAAATGGTACTTTAGATATTCTCATAGCTGATACTCCTATTTTAGATTACTATCGGGCGATAGACGATGGTTGTCGATTACAAAAGATCGGAGACACCATAAATGAAGACACATATGCCGTTGCCCTTACCAAGGGCCATCCTTTGAAAGAAAGTATATCTAAAGTTATAGCTAATTACACGAGCACTGGACTACTGGATATCCTGCAAGAAAAATGGTAAACTACTTTCACAAGAATACTGTCATTCAATTAAAAATTGCAAGTGAATACGATCGAATAACTGGAATAAAAAATGATCACAACAGGTATGGTGGTTTACCTTGTATTCGAGGAAGAGAAGGAATGGATACTGGCCTTGACCATGAACAAGGAGGACAACCCAGACCTCTGGGTGTAGCTTCTGTTGCCGGCGTATTCTGTCTTCTAGGAATGGGCGTTGTACTTGGTACAATTATTTTAGCTGGGGAACACTTGTTTTACAAATATACGTTGCCCAGATTGAGACATAGGCCGGAGGACTCTATATGGCGCAGCCGTAACGTGATGTTCTTCTCACAGAAATTGTATAGATTCATCAATTGCGTGGAGCTGGTGTCGCCACACCACGCTGCCAGAGAACTGGTTCACACGGTACGACAGGGACAGATCGCCTCCCTGTTTCAAAAAAGTGTCAAGCGAGTAAGTGACTTTTTGCTTCCGTAGACTGTAACTTTTTTCATATATCTACAAGGTAGCCATGTTCCAGAAGGAACACGAACAACGTCGAAGGCGCAAAAGTAAAGCTCAGTTCTTCGAGATGATCCAGGAGATCCGGAGGTGAGAGCTGAAGAATCCATTAATCTTACTTGGCTACTCCAATTCGTAAATCTAATCAGTAAATTGTTTCAATTTTGCAGAGTCCAACAAGAGGAAAAGATAGAAACTGTATCGGAAGAGCAAGAGAAAGAGGAAGAGGAAAAAACTGTAAAAGGAAGAGAAAGAAGCAAAAGCAAGAGCCCTTTGATGCCCCGAAGTCCAAAGAGATCAGAGAAAAGCAGAAGTTCGACCAATTTATCAAGCTCCAGGCTAGGATTGTCTCCGATCAGCCTGGAGGCCCCAATGAAGCCCAGAGAATTCACTCTGAGCAGCACTAACCTCAGAGCAAGAAGCCCTTTGGAAACAGTAGGTCGTCGCTTGAGCCACGGAGATGGAGGATCACCACCACCGCGTCTAGGCTCTAATTTCGGTGGCAGCGCAACGCTAAGACCCCTAGCGCCAACGAAAAGCGATTCCACCGGAAGTACGACACCAACGATCAAGGGTGAGTCCACTGGGGGAGGTGCTCCTACACCCAGATACGCGAGAAGTCCTGCAAAACGAGGGCAATCGTTCCCAGTGTTTGCCACGTTGAGGCCACCACACTCGTCCAGCCATCAAATGTCCAAGAGCCCATTATTATCCCCTAATAATGAGCTAACTTCCGCTATCGGACGGAAACTATCTCGTGAATGGGGTTCGGGAACTCTAGATATCAGCAGGTCTTCCGAAACGGTCGCTGGCGGCTGCTCTTATACGCTAAACCAGGAGATGACGTTATCCTTAGAGCGGCCGTCCCATGAGAAGATTCAGAACGATCCCCTACCCATCAAGAAGCCTATAAGAAGAGCCAGAAGCCATGAGAACAGAGACACCGGCAAGCTGATGGCCGATCTACCGTCGCCAAGACTCACCGCTCAACCGGTGGTAGGAGGCCGATCGGTAAGCGAACGAACGAAAAAGCAGTTAGAGTCCGAATTGAAAGCGATTTTAAGTGCCAGAGCCCACCACCGCGACCTTCATCCCCCTTGATAGACGACAGGCTATCTCACCTAATTTTAATAAAGAGACAGAGAGAGTTCTTGCAGAAGTGAGCCATAAAAGCTTCGAGGATCGTTGCCTCTGAGGGGCTTTGGTTGATTTAAGCAATATCAGATTTATAGGTCAATTTGTAGAAGAAAAAAAAATCCGACAAACAGTAAAACAAAAAGATATATATATAAAGGAAAAAGTATATATATATAGACACAGTGTCTCCGGAGGTAATTAAAGTGTAACACAAGAAAGAGATTCTCTCACGAAGAAAGAGTGAAATCTCTTTATCTGTTCATGTTGTTACGTACATTGATAATACTGATAGAGTATGTTGATAAAAAAAATGGAAAAAAAGTGCTATAAAACTTTAGTAGATTGTCTTAACGAGTAGCGACTTAAATGAGTAACTAAAGTATTTTCTTGTTGGCATTTTAACTCTACAGAGGCTGTCGGTCTGGGCGAGTCTCTCTTAAAATTATAATATGATTATTAGATATCGTACACTGCCGTATTTCTCAAATTCCTTTTAATCATTCGTAGATGACTCATCGACATCTTTCAGTTTGCCATCTGAAACAAATTGGTGATGGAGATTCGAACGGCCGCATAAGACAATGGCATATATTAAAGTAGGAAGAATCGACAATGAATAGAAATAAGTGAAAGCTGAGAATCGCTGGTCTACGGAATTTTGCTGACTCACATACTGCCATAAACCTTCTAGTATTTCTCTCATGGGAGGAGAGAAAAGGAGAGACTCGCCCGTAGAACTCTCAGCGTAGAATGACCATTTACTAAAAGAAAAAAATACATAATCTTATTAAAAATTATCTCATTCAAAATAAAAGAATGAATAATAAAATATATTGAAAGGCGGACGAAATTTTAATCGGACGAGTCACTTTTTTACCGAAAGCTGGTATACCATTATATGGAATGAAATTCTATCAGCAAACATTTAACGACGATAATTGTATGCACACATTAATCATTCTATTTGTAATTTCATTCACTGATAGTGGAAGAAATCGTGTGTTTACTGTGCAATAACCTTCCACCAATTATTAGACTGATAGGTGAAGAAAAATTTATCCAGGAATTGCACACACGCATCCACGGATCATTGGAATTGAACACGCACATATATACACTCTCTATCTCAAAATGTTCTTTTCCTCTTCCTTTATACTTTCTTCTTCCTTTTTTTCGTCAAACTGAAAATGAAGGACACGCACATATATACACTCTCTATCTCAAAATGTTCTTTTGCTCTTCCTTTATACTTTTTTTTCCTTTTTTTCGTCAAACTGAAAATGAACTATCATCGTTCCAACTTGATCCCAACTACCCAAACTTAGACTGTTAGAATGAATGTGTGGGACTAAATTAATTGAAAATAATTGATGAGCGAGGCCTTAGGAGTAGTCGATCCGCCCAATTCTTTACTTACGGATATAGCGTTTAATCGTATTATCGAGCAATTCGCTATATAATTATAAATTATACATAGAGGATAGCGATTTAGTTTCATAGTTTTCTCGTTAGGCACTGTATCCGACACTCGTAACTGAAATTCTTGAAAGTCTAACGAGATAGAGACTCTCACAAATGCATGTTAGTTATCATCCCTGAAATTCAAAAATACATTTCACTAAATTCAGACTATGCTTCAGAGACTCTATAAGACAACATAAGTTGTTCGCAGGCTGACTACATACAACTACTGAATCCTCAATCTGATGTATAACAAGTGTAACTTCTACCAATGAAAGTGTCCCAACTTACAAGTAACTACATTTGTTTTACCATTTACACTGTCAGCACCTACATGTTTACACCTGTCATTTTTTAGCTAACAGACTTTCGAGAATATTTCATACATGATGATGAGGAAACAAAGACAAATATCATTGTGTTACAAACAATAAAGATAATTTCCATAAATTTCTTTCAATTGAATAACAAAGAAAAACGACTGGCTTGCTTGCAATAGCAGATTCAGGAAGTAATCAAAATACAAAGATATAGGGGGCCAGTTTAGAGTCACCCAAGCCTAACTAAATCAAAGATAGACTTATTAAATTAATTAATAGCTGTAACATTCTTTAATAAGTGGGTTCTGCCGGTAATTTAGTTCAGTAGTGATCATATATATTCTTTTCTCCAATTTATTCCAAAATGCATAAAAAAAGAGAAAAAAGAAACCTGTCTTTTGAAAGTCTTTGTACATATGTGTCTTCTACTCTAGATACCTGAAGAGGCATTATTGCACTGAATTAAAGGTCGAGCCCCCTACTTCATTGTGCGCCAACAAGAACCTGTATAATGTGAGCATTTTATGGAAAGATCAGAGCAAAATTCATCTGTACTTCTATCTTTATTATTCAATTACAAATCAAATATTCTGAAAATTATTACATGCGATAATCAAAAAAATTGAATCGGCCTATTTAATGTAGAATTTAGAGAATTCCCCTTAGTTAATTAAAACTTCTGAATCTTTTAGTGCTCTTTTCTTTCCATTCTCTAAATTAATATCATGAAGTGTTCTCATTGTTCTCATCAATAATGCCCATAAAAATAACAGATTTAAAATTCAAACTTTCGAAAATTTGAACTTTAAAAGAAAAGGAACATTTATTGCTTGATAATAAATCTAATATAAATTTATATGATTCAGTTATTAGAGATAACTAGTAATTAAAGTATTAATAACATTCTAATAGCCTTAACACGTTATTTCCGCGTTTAATGGCAATAAGATTATTCTATACTATAAAACACTGCCATAATTTCAACTATTGTTATATTGATTTTAAGGTCCTGCCAAATAATATTATCGCATTAAATATAATGCATTCTTCAGGGCTCTCTTAAAAACAATTAAAACTTCTCAATGAAAAACAGACATTAACTATACATCGCAAATAAGTCAAGAAAAAGATATTCTCTCAAATTCACAAGATATTTGGATTTGTCGCTTAGGTATGAGAACATTTCCAATATAAAGTACAGAATATACTAACAAATTAACAAATAGGAAGTATCAAATACTGAGGACTTGTTCATTGAATTCTATGCATAGAATAATGTCTCAATTCACAGAACAAGGTTCCTACTATCTTTGAAATTTATTTTTTCAACAATTACAATGGAACTTTGTACATTGTGGAGATTTAATAGTAAACTTCTCAACTGCATAGAATGCAATGCTAAAAAAATTCTTGAGGCTCAATATAGGTACTTCTGTACTACTCTTTCGTTTTGCTAATACGAGTAAAAACTAATAAGATCTAATTCATAAATACTTATCAAGAACTAACCATTACTTTAAAAAGGTCTTTAATTTGGTAGACCAATTGCTACTTACGTTGCATTAAAGTTGCATAAATTATAACTTAAGCACAATGCAACTTTAAGGAAACGAAATAAGTATTGTAAAATCATAAAGTAAAGGATTACACGAAGTAGTCGTATAATAAATCACAGAGATTCTGTTACGGCGGTGACTTGTTGGCGTACGGTATTAGGTTAGGTTCCTCGTAACCTACCTCGTCTCTCTTGTTACGCCTACTATTATACTGTTATTGTTGAAAACTCCATATTAATAAGAAATAAATATATTGTCTCAAAATAAACGTGGTCTCTCATTTTCCCAATTTCAAACTCCTACGAGCTTCAACCTATAACCTCTTCATTTCTCAATCCTTACATAATTAACTCATAAATATGTAATGTAAACCTAATGATTGTCATTTTTTATACGTGAATCCCTCCAACATTTTCAGTTTACCATCAATTTACTGAAACAATGTAGAATACAAATGCATACACATAACCAAACAAATATTTAAAACATATTAAACGGATTCCTGGATAACAAAATGCGAGCCAGAAAAATTACCGGACGTATTGGTTCAAAGGTGCGCGAACGGTCTCAAAGGTAAAAACCTCGGTGAGTAGCTGCTAACGTGCTTGATCATCAAAGCGAAATAAATGCAAGTCATTCACGTCATCTACGATCACGAGTGTTGTTTCACGGTCGAACTTTCGCTTGTGTTTGTCTCGTACATAGCCCCGTGTGGTAACCATATACTTAGACACTGTCTCTTATTACCTTATTATCTCGGTAAGACCGAGCTGCTTGCGGTATAGTGACATGTAAATATAAACGTATTCGCTGTTGTCTTCCGAACGATTAATTCTTTGCATATCGTTTTTTCACGCTTTACCGCCCAAATTTTTCACAGACACATATGTAAAATATCGACGTACGTATTACGAGCATGGGTGGAATGTATATTTTTCATTCAGAAGCCGATCTCGAGTAACGAGTTACTCTTATCAGTCCTTAAGTAACGCGTTAGAATAGACGTTAAGATATCGATGCTCATCTTGGAGAAAGAAATATTTTTCAACTCACAGGATTCTTTGAAAGCACGTGCAAATAATAATTTCACGTCTGACGTGAGCCAACATCAACATCATATTTGTTAGTACTTATTGTTCATATCTGCGCCATCGAGCACGATCAATTAATTGGCAACTTAGCCCTTCAAATTATGTTCGCTCTATCGCATCTCCTCTTCCCTTCTTAATTTATTTTACTTTGGGAAATTTATCAAGATTGCAAATTTTTATTCGCAATTCATTTGCATTTCTCTGTTTTGCCGGCGATTCTTCGGTCATTCCTGTAAGTATTTTTTGTGTTCTTGAAATATGGTTTATACGTGGTGCTTAATTGTGTAGGGTTTGTCTATTATTGGTGAACTTAATTCTTTCATAGGTTATTTTAATGGATGAAGAAGATTGTTGCATGAAAAAAGAAGCTCCTAGCAGCTTCCATTCCAAAAATCTTGGATCTAGTTCTTCGTTCATGACCGAGGGTGAAGGCCTAGATTCTACGGAGAAACATGGAGATCTTGGTGACATGACCTTTTACATGGCAAATTATATTAAAGATGCTATGAAGATGATGTTCATTATGCGTAGTCATCATATGCTCACTGATGTTATATTGGAAGTAGGGTCAGAGTTATTCTATGCACACAAAGTAATATTAGCTGCTGCTAGTCCATATTTTAAGGTAATTTACCTTAAAGACATACAAAAAATATACACTGGACAAAGACAAAAATTGTATTGACTTGTTTTCAATATTCTAGGCAATGTTTACGGGAGGTTTGAAAGAATCTGAAATGTCTAGGGTAAAACTTCAAGGTGTCAGCCCAACAACGATGGCACGTTTAATATATTTCATGTATACTGGTCAAATAAGAGTCACAGAGATTACAGTGTGCTCTCTTTTATCAGCAGCCACCATGTTTCAGGTATGTAAAAGATAAGTACATTTTTCTAATAAAAAAAAAAGATGTCACAGTATCTAATATACTTTTTTTACATCTATGGTGCAGGTTAGTAATGTCATAGATGCGTGTTGTGTATTCTTGGAAAGACAATTAGATCCCACAAATGCTATTGGAATTGCTAATTTTGCTGAACAACATGGTTGTCAAAATTTATGTCAGAAAGCAAATCAATTTATTGTTCAACATTTTAGTCAGATATGTCAGGAAGAAGAGTTCCTACAGTTATCGGCAATGCAATTGATAGCACTAGTGAGAAAGGATGAGCTGAATGTACAGGAAGAGAGAGAAGTGTACAATGCAGTGTTAAAATGGGTCAAGTACAATGAAGAAGCCAGAGGACCCAAAATGGAGCACATATTGCATGCAGTGAGGTGTCAGTATCTCACTCCTAACTTCCTTAGAGAACAAATGAAAAACTGTGATGTTTTGAAGAAAGTACCTGCATGCAGAGAGTACCTTGCACAGATCTTCAAAGATTTGACTCTTCATAAAAAGCCAGTGGTAAAAGAGAGAACACCTAACACTCGCAGAGTGATATACATAGCTGGTGGTTTCTTGAAACATTCTTTAGATTTGCTAGAGGGGTATAACGTAGATGAAAAAACTTGGACTCAACATGCTAAACTAATAGTGCCAAGATCTGGTTTGGGTGGAGCATTCCTAAAGGGTATGTTTTATGCTGTTGGTGGGAGGAATAATTCACCAGATAGCAGGTAAGTTTCTTGGAAGGGAAGATAGTAAGAAATTAGACATAACATTTTTAAGAATTTATATGAACTTGCAGATATGATAGTGATTGGGTTGATAGATACAATCCAATCACGGATCAATGGAGAGCTTGCAGCCCAATGTCTGTACCAAGGAACAGAGTAGGAGTGGCTGTTATGGATGGACTATTATATGCTGTTGGAGGTAGTGCAGGTGCAGAATATCACAATAGCGTTGAATGTTATGATCCAGATCACGATACTTGGACTAACGTGAAGCCAATGCACATCAAGAGATTGGGAGTTGGAGTAGCTGTAGTTAATAGGTGAAACTTGCAAATTATTTAAGGTTTAAGAGTTTCTTATTAAACTACGTTATCTATGTGAATTCTGTTTATAACAGATTACTTTATGCCATTGGTGGATTTGATGGAACAAATCGATTGAACTCTGTAGAGTGTTACCATCCTGAAAACGATGAGTGGACAATGGTTTCACCCATGAAATGTAGTCGATCAGGAGCTGGAGTAGCCAACCTCGGACAATACATATATGTGGTGGGAGGATATGATGGAACAAAGCAATTAAACTCTGTCGAAAGATACGATACAGAAAGAGATATATGGGATCAAGTCAGTAGTGTCACTATTGCTCGTAGTGCACTCAGTGTTACAGTACTAGATGGAAAATTGTATGCAATGGGTGAGAACCAAAAAATATTTTTACAAAATAGATTTTATTTAGATTTGTGACTTTATCAATGAATCTTTTCTTATTCAATATTTACAGGAGGATATGATGGTGAACACTTTTTAAATATAGTTGAAATTTACGACCCTATGAAAGACACATGGGAGCAGGGAGTACCAATGACTTCAGGAAGATCGGGTCATGCGAGTGCGGTATCGTACCACCAGTGTCCCATCCATTGTGATCATCTGGATCATAATATATCTCTAGAGAAACCACCATCGTGATATATGTAATTATCAGGTGTTAATTTAAATATTGGTATATAAACGAAATTCTTAATCTAGGGAAACAAATACAAAAAAGCAAGGCAGAAATAATGGAAATAGTTGCCCAAACGGTGAACGAGTGACAGACTGATATTATGTATTTTTGAGTTGTAATGTAAGTTCTGTTCTGGAGATTGAACTGCATTAACATTCTATAATTTTATTCTTGATAGAACCTCCCGATAGCATTCAATGATTGATTCTTATTAAATATAGCATACAACATATATATGTATATGTTTTAAAATCATAAGGACCTTATCTATCCATATATATATATATATTGTTTTTAATATCAAATTTGTACAAAAAAACTTTCTTATTTTTGAATCGCTGTACATTTGTAATATATTATTAAACTAATATACTGACACACATGCACACGCGTGCACGCGGATCTGTATGTATTTGTAAAATATCCACAACTAATTCGCGCATTTTTGATCCTATCAATTAAATGTATATCCTGCCTAATTATTATATGTTAAGAAATGTTGAAAGACTTGATTAAGAAAGATGAAAAATATATATGCTTGAAATATTATCAGTGTCTTTTTTAATAAACATTCTTCAGAAGTTCAACAATATTTATAATTATCTAGTAATAAAAAAAATGTGCACTAATTAAAATATAGTTAAAACTATTTCTTTAATTTAGAGATATTTTGATCTATATCGTTTATAATGATTCACTACCAGTCCGAAAATGTAATTCAATCGTGGGAGTGTGGGAGTTAAAAACTGGTTCTGTTGTTAAGATGGATCACACTAATCGATATTTTCGAAAGCTGAGGAGCACGGATACTCCTACCATTAAAATCTACTTTTATACCATATAAAGCGACAATTATTACATTCCAAAGATAATCAACAATTTTTTAACAATTTTATGTAAATAATATATCTATACATTTAAACTATTCAGTTCCTACTTGTTAGTTATGGTAGGTCTACAGTGAGGTTATAAACATAATGATCGTCTAAGCATATTTATCGGAATGATAAATAATACGAAAGAACATGAAAACAATAAGTTTTTTCACGATAATTTCCACCGACCGTAATACAGCAAAAATTCGGCGGACTACGTGAAATTCAAATAAGTACAACGATGAAATCTGTGTACAAATTGTTTTTTCTGTGCCTTATTTTCATCGTATTGATAATACTGCTTAATTTAACAAATTTCTCTAACAAAATCTACGATGCATCCACCAAAGAAGCTGTCGTGTCTACTACTGTTAAAAAGCTTCAACCACCATCAATAACAGGAGAAGTAACAATCTGTGTGGTAGTCTGTGGAGATAGAGTGGATGAAGCGCTAACTATGCTCAAATCTGCCCTAGTCTTTACATGTAGATCCTTACAGTTCATTATTCTGGCAGAAACCAGCCTAATTCCTGCCTTTAATGAGAAGTTAGCAGAATGGAAGCTTTTATCAAACAAAACATTTGATTTCATTGTCAAACCTATTACATTCCCCGAAGGCAGTGATGCAGCTATGTGGAAGAAGCTGTTCAAGCCTTGTGCAGCTCAAAGATTATTTCTCCCGGTAATTCCATAAAAATCTAATTAACTAACAAAAAAATATTATATGTATTAATATTTAAATGTATGGTTTACTTATTACAGTCAGTGCTAAATGATATAGATGCTGTCCTCTACGTAGATACAGACACGTTATTTTTAGCTCCACCGGAAAAAATCTGGGATGAGTTTAAGAAGATGAATTCTAGCCAACTAGCAGCTCTGAGTCCAGAACATGAAGATCCTAACACAGGATGGTACAACAGATTTGCCAAACATCCCTATTATGGAAAGCTCGGTGTGAATTCTGGAGTGATGTTAATGAATCTGACGAGAATGAGAGAATTCAGATGGATAGAGTATGTGATACCCATTCACAAGGAATATAAATTGAAGATAACATGGGGAGATCAAGATATAATA